AATGTTAAATTACTTTTATTGTGGGCTTCCTACTTAATATTTCATTAATTAAACACGACGATACGAAAACGGGCTTGTAGAAGGTTTAAAATTATATTGTGTACAAGGTTTTCGTAGCCATTTTTACTTTTTTAGTTGAAAATCAGTAGCTGATGCTGAAAAAAATGTTTAATATTAAAACAGAGCTATCAGCTAAACAGATAAGAATTCTAGAAACAAGTAACAGACAACTGGTATGTAACTTGACGGTCTCATAATATTTGAAAACTTTATTATTTTTTACATGTTATTCCACATGAAGGCACTATATAATTTAAAAATCGAAAATAAAATGAAAATTTTACGCGCAATTGTTAAGGTTGAAATTACATTGCGCGAGAAGTGTAGCTATCAATAGGTTGAATAAATTCGACGATGAGGTGTAGGACTCGGAAGCTCAATTGGTAGAGCAACAGCACGGAACGCTGACGATGCCGGTTCAAGTCCTGCCTGAGTCCAAAATTTTTTCAATTTATTTTAGATTTTTAAAATATATAGTGGTCTTATAATAATCAACTCTAAGTTCGGGTTCGAGCATAATTGGTACAGCAAATTGTAAATTATTTAATTTAAAAATCGAAAAAATTTTTGACTCGGACAGGACTTGACGTGCTGTTGCTCTACCAATTGAGCTACCGAGTCCTACACCTCATCGTCGAATTTTTTCAACTTATTGATACACGCACTTCTCGCGCAGTGTAATTTCAACCTTAACACTTGCGATACGACATCGCAATAAACAACAACATTGAAGTTTTCAAATGTAAATAATTTTTTGTCCATTCTAAACGTCATGTTGACTATGGAAAAGTATGGAAAAAGTGTCAGTTCAAAATAGATGTTATAAACTCACGGCATTTGCGGAAATTTGCGCGAATGATTGATGGGCATTTACGCAGAATGAAAATAACATCTCATTGAGGTAATCTTATTTCCTTTGAGAAAGTAATATAGGCTACGTTAAGTGTCTTTGACTTTACCCACTTGGAGCTAGTAAATCGACTCCAAGTTTGAATATGTATAAAACATTTTACGTCATATGTATCGTATAGCTCGATCAATGAACTGCAACATTTTTCTTACGAAATAATGGACTATATAATAAAATAAATACATATAAAAACATGTTTCTCTATTTTATTTGTTTTTTAGTAACGTGAAAAAGACTTTTCCAATGCGCGTTTGTAAACAATGTTTTTTCTATTTAAATGAAACGCTTTAACGGTTTAAAACGCGATATATTAGTTAAAGCGAAGTTAAAAATCATTTTCGAAGAAGTTTAACTAATATATTGCGTTTTAAACCGTTAAAGTGTTTTATTTAAATGTGTAGACAGTATTTAATGTTCTTTTCTTGTTTTTAATGAAGTTTTCCTCGTGTACATTTGTGAAATAGGCAATAATTATGGTCTATTTATTTTAAAACAAGCAACAATTAGAATGTATGTTTTTAAAAATCATTAATTTTTAAAACTGAAGCGTGGTACATCCATTCACGTCATCAATTTACTTATACGATGACGACACGAGACGCCCCCTTTGTTTCAACCTATTTATATGCTACCGTGCCCACTACTCCTACAGCTGTGGTTGGTGACTTTCAGTTAATCAGTAATGATAACCCAGATCGCGTTGCAGAAATAGCATAACAGAAACAGCTTGATGTCTTGGCTAGACTGCGTATCAAATCGTGCTTAGCTGTAAACTCAAGCAATTTCGCATTTCACACGAAGCAGTGTCTCTATTAAACACAGAAACTGCAACAGTAGGTACTAAATATGCACAATGTTAACTCCTGAAACCTTCAGAAGACACTACGAAATTATCTATATAGACTTTAATACAGCCGAGTTTTCGCGAGTACCCATTAAAATAAACGCTTTAATGGTCTAAAACGCGAATTGTATCAGTTAAACTTATTTAAAAATGATTTTAACTACGGCCCGACGTTTTGGATGCTTTTCCGTAGCCGGGGCCAAGGATACGGCATATTTTTTTCTATTAATAAGGTAACCTAATATATTTCGCGTTTTAGATATATATATGTGTCAGAGAAACCAAAAAGTAGCTTAGTATACTAAGGTTTAGATATACTTATGTACTCGTAAGAGTTCCTCAGTCTATTAGTGATATTATAAAACGCAATCAAAAACTAATTTAATAAGATACTGCATAAATAATTTTAAATCTGTTAACTGTCATTGCACTTTTCAAACGCCATCTACAAAAGAGGGTAAGCAGTGATACAAATCCATGTTTTGATCTATGTAACTAACTTAAACGGTTTTAAACCCAGGACACCATTTTTAAATGTCTTAAAGTAATTATTAAAAAAACTGACTTAATGTCAAATCAAAATTTCATCATAAGTAATAATGACATCATCATCATCAGTGGCTGTACATCCCCTTGTGGGAGCCAGCCTCCTCTAGGCGTTTCCGCCATCGCGATCTATCCCGTGCTTCCTGGTTTTAGTTTTGGACGCGCAAGATTTCCAGGTTCTTTGCGACTCCATCCCAGAAGCGGAGTCTTCGTCGGTCTTCCGGGTTTTCGTTTACCGCCTGATTGCGAGTTCAGCAAGGACCTTGGTGCTCTATCGTCTATATATCACATATATACTACTAATGAGACGATTTTATTTCCTGGCATTGCGTAAACTACAGTAAATGCCTCAAAAAATATTCAAAACTTCGTTCGCTTATAGGCTATAAGAAAATGGGAATTCTTCTTTCCATAATAACAAACTTACACCGTGGGCGTATTAAATTGAGCATCGCTTATAATAATATTACCCTCGCATCTAATCAATAAAGGCTTTGACTGAACGAACGATAAAATCTAGGTTATATTTCATACTAACTTCTCTTCAGGGATTTGAAATTACTTTCATCGCGAAGCAAAAACTAAACGCAATTCACTATTGATTTCTGAAAAGTAAAAATATGCTTTTTCTTAAAATCACGACCTGTAATATAATTTGATGTGTTAGTTTTAGTTTTGTAATTGATACTATATATAGATATATAGTGTGTATATATATATAAGCTATAGGAAGGTCAACGAAGCTACATAAAGAACATAGACACGTTAAATCTTAAGAATACGTAATCTTCAATTATATTTCGAGCGAAAGGATTTGTTTACTCATAATAAACTTAACAATAAGATTGTTAACAACATTTTCATACTGACTGGCTAAATTTAATGTTTTAAAAATAAATCTATATTAATATATAAAGCTGAAGAGTTGGTTTGTTTGTTTATTTGGACATAAGGCCGTTCAAACAAAGAAACATACTCAGGAACTACAGGTTCAAATAAAAAAAATATGTATGTATTAAACATTATGATGCGATTTTTAATCAGCTGGAAATGTGAAAAAAACAGGGAAATAATTCAGCTTTGTGGATTTCCGATGCGTACGCTGCGAAAACAGTTCAAGATAGCTTAAAATTATTTACTAAAGGATGATTTCTCTTTAAATGATCTAAAAACATGTCCGAAATATATCTCTTTAAATTAACTTGCAAGAAAGATGGAACGTTACCAGCGACGTGTGTAACAGCTTAAATTTATGAAGAGGAGGTTTGCGAAAATTTTATGCCCAAAATAACTATTCGGACGAAGTCGCTAACACAGCTAGTAACATATAAACTGAGAAATGCATTCACATGATGCCGGTGCAGTTGACAACTGTCATTTCTTTTGACGTTGTGTTGATTGCATTTCAGGCTCTTTATCTGGCATTTATAATAAAGCGATTTTTCGTTCGTATCGTATTACAATGTCACCTCATAGATCATATTAAAGTTACAAAATGTATTTCTAATAATACTTAATTCTCACTTCTTATATACTTATTATCTAACTGAACGTATGTACAACGTTAAATAAAATAAAAAGTAAGAACTAAAACTACGGTATATATAATAAAGGTAATTTATGTATGGTAATGGTAATTTCGAAAACTTTTTTAATATTTATATTTTTTATAAATTAATTTTAAACACATTTTTACATTGCTCGATGACTTTGAACCGTAATTATTTTTACAGTATTTTGTACAGAGAAAACTGGGTATTAATTTTACAATTAAATAATGGAATAACGCTGTTGTTTAACTTTGTCGCCCTGTCCGATTTTCAGTCGTGACAATGGCAGCAATCGTAACGAACAATAAAGATAATTTTGTAAATTTGATATTTTGGTATAGAAAGCATTTTAAGCACAAATCAAACATTTTGAGACAGAGGCTCTTCATTAAATAAATATAATGGAGTGTAGTATTATAGTCTACGATTTTAAACTTCTTCTTCTTCTTAGTTTGATGGTTATTCTAAGATGTAACTCAACTTACAACGATGAGTTGACAAATGAAGTGACAAATTTTCAGCAGTTATTTTATTTGGCTAACAATTTAGTTTGCACTGCAAGACAATGGATTCAATTAACCCCACGGCGATGTGATGTCTAACTCGCCTAGATATGCTAAAGTTATGATGAGTTCGAAATGCTCCGAATGGCTTTGAGCACAGATACTGCATTCTAGGTACAACCTGAACGTATTATCTGTGTTTATTACAAAACTGTCACTCAAGTAAACAATTCATAATTGTTTTTATTCTTAACAATGAACAACGTGAATTAATACATTTTCAAAAGAGACGCTGACGACCATATAAACTCCAACTCGCAAAGTTTCTTTGTCAATAATGGCCACTCGTTTATAGAACATAACTTTCAGGTTCCGCCATAAGTTTATTGCAGCGCCCTTTTACGCACGTGAATTATTTCTATAACAAATTGTAAAGTTTATAAAGCTTTAGTCGCTTTTTCTAAGGTTTACAAGCTCGAGCTTTATAACAAGAATTTTGTTTCTTTTTTGCAGCGTAACCTGTCAAAATGGTCTACAAGTTTTCTAATATGAGGTACGCGCCGTTGATGGTGTTTCAAATAGTTTTGATGATACTATACTTCATATTTGTAAAATATGGAGGCGAAGATGACCATAATATACGAGGTAAGATATAATTGTAAGAAATGTTATTTAGTAGCTTGAATCAATTTATATAATAATAATGCATGTCCCCATCGGTTGGGGACAGAGAGGCCGGCAAGGAAGGAGTTCTCATGGTAGAAGGTGAAATACCTCAGCTATATAACATCTAAATAAGATGCGATTTTGACCTATATTCGCTTCGAAATTTTGGAAATCCACAGACTGATTCAAAATTCGATTAAATTACGACTTTATCATCTGTGGACGGTGGTATGTGACCGCTACGGTTTTGATATTTCCACCTTCCATTTAACATGTTTCAGAAATATTATATATTTATTGGAAGCACCCCATTGCTTGCAAAGAACCCACGACCCGGTGATTATTGGCATTACATAGATACCAACGAACCCGTTGAAAAGATACATAGATAACAACCCCCCCGTGATTGCACACCCTTGACATCTTCTAATCTTCGATCGAAACCTGAATTCAAATTAGATATATATAATGATTATTTATTTGTGAGAGTGTGTGATATCGCTATTGAAATAGGATTCTGATTTGTGACCTAGATTCTAAGCGAAACAGCTTGTCATCGCTAAAAGTGCTTCGTCTTGCCTCGCCCAACATTCCAATTAAGCTCCTGTTTTATTGCTGTGCATAGGAGGATTATAATTTGTTCAACTAAATATCTTCAAGCTCTGAGAAAATGCGTTTGATTAATAAACAGACATATTCGTTTTTGTGTTCAATGATTTTCATCATGCTTGTGCATTTCGGCTCAACGCAATATCTTTAGGGACGCGAAGTAAGCTTTAACATTACACTTTTAACGGTTTAAAACGCAAAATAATTGGTTAAATTTATTTATATTTTTTAAACTGCTGCTTGATGCTTCTGATGCCTTGCAGCCGTGACACCAGGGGAGGGTGTCCGTAACGTCAAAGTCATAATCTACTCCACTAACGCCATCTGCTTGCTCGTAGTTAGTAATTGGAGAAACTTGATACTTATTTCTGCAAGGAACTTGTTTTGTAGTTAGAAGTGTTTTATTTAAATGTGTACTACTCACGTAAATAGCAGACAATGCTTATTCCTAAACTTTACTACTAATGTTAAACTGTTGCAGTTATATAATGCAAAGAAGGCTAATTGACTACTTCTTGGTTAAATTATTATTTTTTATTTTAGCTTCTTTTAATTATTATCGTTAGTCCAATAGTAGCGATGTACGGCTAATAATCAACATTAAGACTTTTATGAAATTCAAAAGTTTTCTAAAACATCTGGGACCACATCTGAAATATATTAGAAAAAACCGTAGTGTAATTGCTTTTTAGTCTGTACATTTCTGAATGTCCAAACCCAAAATAGGTCGACATCACATTTAGATATATAGCTGGTGTAAATATTATTCAGTCGGTTATATATAAACGTTTAGGTAAATAATACGTACTATTGGACAATACGTCTAGACACTTATCTTAACGTCGAGTATAATATTACAGTGGATTATTATTAACGAATTTGACGTTGAAATAATTGCAATTAAATTGTTTTGACCTTCTAGATGTACGCTAATTGTTTTATTACTCTATTAATCACGTTCCTACTTGAGCGTGTTGCTTATGAACTGCAATCTACATAGCGAGACACATTTATGTGTTTATTGTGTGGTGCATATAGCTAGTTTCTAAAGCATGGGTTTTCGAGCTTTTAATCATTGGAAGCAAAGACCCTAAGTCGAAGAACAAGCAACATCCGGTGTTGTCATGAAATCATAATGCCGTAACGTCGAGAAAATCTCAATTACGACGGCCGAGCTTGTCGATAACCCATGAAGCTTTGCAAATATTTTATTTATCAGCAAGATGTATTATGATGGTTTATGTTTACCAGGATTGAAATTTTAAAAACAAATTAAGCGTTATGCAATGCCCGCTTCTTCATAATACTTCTAGTTCTCAGTATATGATATGTTATAACCTAGGCATTTTCGGGCCAATTTATTTTTAGAAAAATAGTGGAGGCGCGTATTATGCGCAATTTTTTAAAGTTCATTTTTATTTATAAAGCTCTATTTTGTCTCAAATTCTGATATATGAATGTTTGCTATTGACTTTTAAAAATCAAATGGTCGGCTTAATATTAACTGAGATTTGTACAGCCAACTCCTAGCTAACTCTAATATATCGTTAGGTTGGCTGAAGCTAACGTGAGCCGCCTATAACATAACACAAATTACCTCAAGATACCCATTGTTACGCGCTGAGGCTGGCTTAGCGAGACTCATGTCTTATTACGAGTATCCGAAGTCCGTATATGTATAGGGCTGTCCCATAGTACCTTTTTATTAATACACATTATTTTTAATATTTGCGGATGACGGAGTTTGAAAATATGTCAATAATTAAGTCAAATTCATTAAATATTTGTAACTTGTAAACAGTTAGAAGACACACACTGCTTTTAAGAGGCGTCAATATAGTGCAATCCAATAAAATATATAGTAGCGTTACTCTTAAAATCAACATCTATCAATTGACTTCTCACAAGGTCAACATAGCTTTTACAATATGGCTAAAATGTTTTGGCATAGGATTAGTTCTGTTTCCTCGTATGTTTCACATACTAGGAAACGGAACTAATCTTATGTACACACTATCTAAACTAATATATAAAGCTGAAGAGTTTGTTTGTTTGTTTGAACGCGCTAATCTCAGGAACTACGGGTTTGATTTGAAAAATTATTTTTGTGTTGGTTAGAGCATTTATCGCGGAAATCTAGGTTATAAAATATCCCGCTGTGACTAATAGAAGCGAAGATATAGCGGGAAATGTGAACAAAACCCGGGAAACTTTTTCATAGTTCTGGGTTTCCTAGGCGTACGCTGCAAAAACGGTACAGGATACCAAAAAAATACGAAGAAAAGAATTATTTCTCTTTACATGATCTAAAAAAAAGTCCGCGACGCTATATGTGTATCTTTTAAGATTAATTTGCAAGAACGACGGGAAGGGACGCGACCGACGTCGTGGGTAACAGCTTTAATAACTATTCTACGCGGACAAAGTCGCTGGCCCAGCTAGTGTTAAATATAATTATACGTAATACTAACTTGTTCTAAGTACTATTTCGCCTAAACTTATTATTAATAATATGTTTTATTTTTTACAAACATACATACATACAAATGCAATAATACTTACTTACACATTCACATCAAAACACTCACACACATTTTTAGCTGGCTAACTTCAACATAATGTCATCTTAAGTATCAATCTTGTAGTACGGAAAGTTGTAATTCTCTTAATAAGAGAGAAAGAGACAATGACCATATTTTATTTTTTTCCATTTAATTCCCACTCTCTAGCTATCGCGAGTTTACCTTAGTGACAGATAGACATCTTTTAGCAAGTTTAGATTTTTGTAACCCTAAAAACTGTAAGTTTGAGAGTTGGAACGTTGGTAGCCCTGCGTTAAAACGGTGGTATAGGGTAATTTCATCAGACGTTATTGGGGAATGATCGAAGGTCGGGATCGGTTCGACTCACGTGAATCAAATTAATTGTCGATGATTTGTACTAAAGGACAGTCAGTTGGACGGTTAAATACAAGACTGAAGTATAGGTATTTTACGGAAGACTGCGTTACATTAAATTAGTCTCTGCTTTTGTGTCTTTTCCCCCATATTATTCTTCAGTCATCATAACATCTATACTAATATAATAAATGCGAAAGTAACACTGTCTGTCTGTCGGGCTTTAACGCCAAAATTAATGAACCGATTTAAATTAAATTTGGTACACAGATATTCTATAACCTGAGAAAGGACATAGGCTACTTTTCAATGTCAAAAAAGGATTGCTGATAGTTAAAAAGGGGGATGAAAGTATGTATGGAAATTCGTGATTTTTGAAGCTAGAACAACGAAACTTTCTTCTTTGGCTTTTTGAGAATGGGACTGACTGGGAGTGAGACTAGGAGTTATGTCAGTTGAGAGTGGAAATGTTGCCGCAAAGTAGTACTTACCGCACAGATTGGCTGCCTTAAATACGTCTAAATAATAAATAAATAAACAATCTAAATAATTAAAAATTCCACCCAGTCACTATTCCAGCAAGTAGATATATAAATTTTAACTACGGGCTCTTTCTTTAACAATACCATATAAGACGCTGTAAGTCCTACGGGAAGAGGATAATATATATATAGACTATGACTGACGATAGTTAAACATTTATACGTACTACTAATTTTGTTATTACTCGTCATATACTTGAATTAAATGCAATTAATGAAATTCATATTAGTAATTAAAAAGCCTCTATCTATCTAAGAACCTCATGCAGTAATCAGCTAACTTTTTCACTCTTATCACATTTTGGTTCTGATTTAAGAATCTATTGTTTGAAGCTGCCTTTTTCTGGCTTACAAGATCACATCTCAGAAGTTGATACCAACGAGTATAAAATATTTATCAAGAGCACAAAGTCGCACAGAACTTGATATGTTCCGTCTTGGGCTTATTTTAAAAATTGTCTTACAAATGCATGTTTTTCCAATTGCCAGAAAGTATAATAAAATAATACCATTGCCGATGTTCATTCTTGCGCATAATAAAACAGCGACTTTTTCAACTAAATACACGATCAATAAAAAATCACTAATAAATTTATTTTTAATTTGATTTTTTTATAGTACATAGTTTAACTAAAATCTGTCCATTATATGTCACCAGTATATAAAATATGTCAGTTAATAATACAGATAATATGTGAAAAAATTAAAGTTTTCAAAGCCTCTCTCTCGATAAATGCCCTGAGCGACACAAATCGAATTTTTCAATTCGAACGAGTAGTTTCTAAGAGTAGCGCTTTTAAACAAACACTGTAACGGTTTAAAACGCGATATATTAGTTAAACTTATTTGCAAATTATTTTTAACTTCGGCCCGACGTTTCCCCGTGACCACGGCTGCTGCAAAGCATCCGAAACTTCGGGCCGACGTTTAAAATAATTTTCAAATAAGTTTAACTAATATATCACGTTTTAAACCGTTAGTGTTTTATTTAAATGTGTACTACTCGCGTAAACTATAGACACTATTTATACGAACAAACGTTACAGTTTTATAATTTTAGCATAGTTTGAAAAGAATATTGACAAGCAAGTCAACAATAATTTATTGATGACCTTCCTCTGAAGGTCGAACAACATGTCTTTGCTTCAAAACATTAGAAAAGGCTGTGTTTAATCAATTTTATATTATTGTTCAAGGTTTCGAGGATACGCATGTGATGATATTCATCGGTTTTGGTTTTCTGATGACTTTCCTGAAAAAGTACTGCTACAGTGCACTTGGTTTTAATTGGTTTCTGGCTGCTCTTGTCATACAATGGGCTCTGCTGTGTCAATCCTTTTACCATATGAAGGACAACACGATTTTTATTACCAAGAAGTTATTATTAGGTAAGTATCATTTATATTCAACTTGGCCTTCAAGATGAAAATAATATGACAATTCATTGAAACCGTTAGGATCTAGTACCATCGAGCAATGACGACGAATACAACCAGCCAATACCACAACTTGTCCTGATTTGATGCGTTATTGGTGTACATGTGGTTGAGCGAAATATACATTATATTAAGTTGGATATTAATTAGATTGCAAAAAAAAAAACCACACGGGAGGGACTTAAAGTGACATCCACAGTAACACATTCTGCTGTTCTACCAACCAATTGAGCACCGTGTTGTATTTAAATAAAACACTTTAACGGTTTAAAACGCGATATATTAGTAAGACTTATTTGAAAATGATTTACACCGTGTTGTAATCAGAGCTAAATAGGTCGTAATTTGTTTTCTATGAAAATATTTTTTTTAAATTATAATATTCTGCCATAATGCAATAATGACATGTATTGTGTAACATAATTAAGTTTTTGAGAATGATAATCAAATTGGGAATGTATAAAATTGTATAGTACACCAAAGACCAGAACATGTTTCCTTAAATTAAGCAAAATAAAGTTATAGGACATATACAAGAGCCGCAAAAATATAATTATCTTGCCAACGCTCAACCGCAAAAACATTAATTAATATGCATTCAAGTGTAGTCATTCAATACGTGGTAAATATATTGAAATGCTGGCTCTAAAATAACCTTAAATACTTAATGTCTAGGATGTACGCTTACCACAAATGGGGTCATTGGTTCGCCTCTTCATTAGTTTGGGACTAGTTGATTTGGGTCCTTATAATTTACGCTAATAGTACAAACCTTTACTCGCGTAAACAGCAGACAGTATTTAAAGATTTTTCATATTTTTTACAAATATTTGTTACTTTACTATTACTTCAAGTCAAATGTACACATTTTATAACAAAAATACATAATAATCAGTCAGTATAACGACTGATTTACCCACATTCGAAATTAAATTATCTTCATATTTGGAATAGCTCTTCAGTAAGGTGGAACGTCAGATCGGTCTTAGTTCTACTATCAGCTTCATTAAACATCTATCAAGGTTACATTCCTCTAATCTCAAAATAGATCCAATTATCTCTTGGACCAAAATCGCTCTTCACTAGAGATAAATGATACAGGATCCTTTATTCATTACAGATAATCTGTTATATACATTTCCATATAAATTGTCTAAGGCTTTCACGGCCATATTTAGTATATTCAGTTGTTCGGGCTGTTCGGCTGACGTGAGCGAGAGGAGGTTCTTGACGTTTCGCCATCACAAGGAGAGGGCATCATCAGGAAATGTTAGCTCCTCGATTGCTCGAAGACTTAATTTAACCTCCTGATGACGCCGTCGGCCGAACAGCCCGAAAAAACAATGTACGTAGTATTTTTAATTAACGACTTCCTTTGTCATAGAGACATGATTTTTATTAAATTTTATTTACAATTGTGCCAATGATTTCCAGAGGCGGACATAATGTCGGCGACTGTACTCATTACCTTCGGTGCAGTGCTCGGAGTGGCCAGCGGACTTCAGCTACTTTTCATTGCAATCGTAGAGACAGCTGTCGCCTGTTTCAACTTTTGGCTTGTCGCTGATGTGTTCAAGGTTACCTCTTCATTATATTAAAATACACTGACGCGCTAACGCACAGCTTCTGTACGTGCTGCTTTAAGCACTAGAGGTTTTGGGTCCAAATAGACGTGATTGTATTTCTATATTTTTTTATGAGAAAATTTCGCGTTCGAGATGAAAAAAAAAGAGATGAAAAGCCTAAGCCATATAACATCGCAACGTGATGTGCTGTCGACCTTTTTGGATTTATTTAGTCGAAAATCCACAGACTGAAACTTTTTTATCTGTCATTGAATGAACAGATTTCCAGACGAAGCCAACATATTTCAGAAAAATTCATAATCAATTAGAAACGTGTTAGACACAATGGTGGTCGAACCCATGATATACCCATAGATTGCTACCATTAAACCAAAATTTATATATTTTTAAATATGTACTTTTTCTGTCACGATTGTAGTTATGGTACATCTACAACGAACACATATTTAATATGTCAACCAATATACGAGTGTTAAATATATATAGGTCTAATAGTATAATTTCAAGTACTGGCCCTTCTTTTAATATAACTTTAAAAAATATATTATGCGGAGTATTGGTATTGAAAATTTCGAAAATTAAAGTTAAAAACAAAAATATTGATATATTAATATTTGTTACAGTTTATTAATAACTCATTTAATATTATTGATTGATGACGTTTCTGACACAAACAATACAGTTGCAGTGTGAAAATCTATCAAAACTCTATTCAAACTGAAAAAAACTTCGAAAATTTTAACAGAAAAAGCAATGCTCCAATATCCTTGCAAAATTGTGCACGACACTAAACAAACGTGCGATATCTATGAAATGTATAGTTATGTAACATTTGCGTTCGTATGTGCACCTGAAAATAAATTTTCTCCTGGTGTTGAGTTTGAAAAGCATTGGAAATTTTAGATACTACATCAAATGCAATTCCCTTTGTAAAGTGACATACGGTGCAAAGAAACAATAGTGTGTCGGCAACGTACACGTATACGTACGTACACAAGATAAAATAGCGGGCTCTGTTCGTTATTCTTTCATTTTTGTAATAAGATAGCTCGTTATATTATTTTAGTAAAAGTCATCTATCTCACCGCAAACATGTGTCTTAAATTAACTTTTTTAAATAAAACATTTTGACGACTTTAAACATTTTAGCTCCGACCTGATGCTTTGGTACCGTGGTCACGTAAGGACTGAATAAACTTATTATAATTATACGCGCCCTAGTGGAGTTCATTTTTGTAGGATAGAGGATTGGATGTTAGGTGAAATATCTCAGTCATATATCGAAACAAAAAGGACTGCCGACCAATTTAGGCTTTGGATATTCGGAACTCCACAGACTGGAACTGAAACGCGATTTTAAACTTCATTGCTTTTTCATCTGTGGTTCGTGGCCCGGGAGGAATTTCGATATTCTTACCACCCATTTCTTAGACAAAATCCAACATGTTCAGAAAAATTGAAAATTGAGTTTCTGGTGGGAGTCGAAGCCACACATTGCTATTATTACACCAATGAGCCGGTCATACGTATATTTAAGAAGTGATGATATTCTAGAACTCTCTCACGCAGTTGCTTGTAACATTAAGTGTTATTAAGCTTACACCAACATTGAGGTAGTCCAAGTCTATCCTCATTTTATTTCGCCCTTTTCCGCAGGCAGCTGACGTAGGGGGATCAATAGCGATACACGCGTTTGGAGCCTATTTTGGTCTCGGTGTGAGCCTACTGCTGAAGCCAAGAAAAACGAAAACTGAAAATGCGGAAAACACAGCGACCGTTGACCTGAATGGACCCAGTTATACTTCGGATGTGACTGCTATGATAGGTATATTTAGTATTTATGCGAGTAGAACACGTTTACATAAATTACTAAATACATTTTATAGTTTAAAATGAGAAATATATTACTTCGTCGTCTCGGATGCTTTGCGGCCGCCGTGGTCACGGTGGGACAAAAGCATATATTTTTGTATACATTATGAGCAATATATCTTTGATTTAAACGGTTAAATGTGTTATATTTAAATATAACAAGTTTTATTTAAAAACTTTTGCACTTTGCTTTGCGTCGCCGGGTTCGAATCCTGAAAGAATATAAGCAATTTCATTGGGATAAGACTTAGAAGCCTTATTGTAATAGATCTGTAAGACACTTATATTCGTTTACTTTTCTTTCACAACAAATTATTTGTTTCGTCTTCCTCGTTGAAAGAGTGTGTTCCATAAAAAACTATATTTATCACCTTTCAAGGGTTCAGACTGAAAATATTATACAGAGAAAGTTACGACTAATAGAACAGATACTTTATGCCGCTACTAGAGAAAACAAAGTGCAGACGACGTGGTGCTAATATCGGGATGTTATCTTTTATAACTGTATTCTTGTCATTCACTTGCTCACAATTCAACGTTGCTATGATATTATACACTCAATATTAACTTTTACCATTCTAAGTTGCGAATAGTCTACGCTAGTGTTTATCAAATTCTAAATAGATATCTACAAAGACGGTTACAGTAGACAAGTTCCCTAAAATGTCTTCATCATCAGACCTCTAATGATAGTCACCCACCGCAGTGAATAGATCTTCATAATTCAAATAATTTAAGCTCAAACACAAGGTAATTGATGTGAATTGTTAAGGATATTCTTCCATTGTCTCTAGTAGCCTCTCCATCATTAGATTTACTCAAAACCTTTATTAAAGTATTAGCTGTGTCAACGACTTCGTCTGCGTAGAATAGTTGTTTTGGGCATCCAAATTTGTTATTGCAAACCTCTACATCTTTATAAATTTAAGCTATCCACGACATTTGTGGTGTCCCGTCGTTCGTGACCGGTCGTTCTTGCAAGTTAATCTTAATAGATAGACATATAGTGTTGCTGACATTTTTTTTTGATAATTTAAAGGGGTATAATTCTGTTTAACCTATTTTGTCATGTTGTTGTGTCATGTGTTTGTGTAACTTGCAAGAACGACAGGACGCAGCCGACGTCGTGGGTAATAGCTTAAATTCATAAAGATCTCTTTACTTTTGCAAAAACCAATTTGGATGCCCAAAATAACTAATAATACGGGGATGACGTCGCTGACACAGCTAGTAATACATATGAATCGAATTTTAAAGCCCTCTTTTTAGATCAGTAAAAGATTTGTGTAAAGCTTTCACGATCATCGTTCAGCATATCACCAGGAGATGTTGTTAAATCCTCAATTATTGTTGTTACTATTATTAGTACTCGGTAGCTCAATTGGTAGAGCAACAGCACGGAACGTTGACGATGCCGGTCCAAGTTCATCATCTCCTTATGATGCCGTCCGCTCGTGATGGCGAAACTCGAGAACCTCTTCTCGCTTACGTCACGAAAAACAATTATAAGTTAAGTTATTGTCATTTACCTACTTCTAGTGCTACTTTTGCATTTCTTATAGGATCGATATTCCTGTGGATCTATTGGCCGTCTTTCAATTCAGCTCTGACTAATTCCAACAGTGAATATCAACGAGCAGTCGTTAATACATATTTGTCGCTAGCAGCTGCTACTGTGAGTATCTATTTGTAATTTCATAATATTTTTAATTGACATTCACGACGTATGGATAATCTGGACTGGTAGAAATGTCATACAAAATACATTTTATTTAATATCTAGTTGCCTACAATGTAATCTTACAAGATTATGTGTCAGTTTATGCTTTTTAAATGACAGAGAAGAAAGCATGGTGTACATCTGAAGCGCTGTCGTTTTTTTGCTTTGGACTTTGCTCCACGCATTTTTATATCCAATGTTTTAAAAGAAGACCCCGGTTTAGAAAAAATATAAAGGGGTTTTAGAAACATGTTTGGCCTCTGGGAATCAAAATGGTATTGATTATTACTACCATTCGACAAACGAGTATGTCACAGTCATAGTAATACATAATCATAAATAAAAATAAATTAATCTATTTGATGTTATAAAGTATTTCTCCTTCGATTTATTGAATGCATAGGTACATACATAAACTTTTTTTTTACCGGTTTTACTTGGCTTAATAACTTAATAAGACCTACTAATAAAATGTAACTTAACAGAATAATGAACTGACATTATTTTTTATTTAATTTTAAAGAGGACAATATGAAGATATTCTTTAAAGCGTAGTAAACATTTCAGGTAACAACATTCGTTTTATCATCAGCTGTGAGCAAGCATCATGGTAAACTGGATATGGTGCACGTACAAAATTCGACCCTGGCTGGTGGAGTGGCAGTGGGTTCAGTTTGCAATATGCATATCACTGCAGGCGGTGCTATTGCTATTGGCATAGGCGCTGGATTGTTAAGTGTTCTTGGATACAGATATTTGACAGTAAGCAGAAATTTAAAATCCGTTTTAGATTTTTTTTAAATGGGTAGAGAGTTGAACCAACATCGACAGCGTTTCGTGCTAATGAACCAATTGAGCTACCATGTCGTCATCGTCAATTTTTTTCAACGTATTAAAAAGGAAATAGAAACCGAAGTTAAAAATTTATTATTATGAGAACTGTATTGTATAAATAATCTGTTTTGTCTATATCATTATAGACTCGAATAGGTAAGGTTTTGTACTAAGTAACCAGTAAACATTTTTACCACCGTGTTTTATTTAATTTGCTCTCCAATATAGGTAATTTGTAATATTTTTCGTGTTGTGCAATAATAAAATAAATAATTTTTGAAATTTAAAAGTCTTTAGCTCTCGTGGTTCTTGAAATATAGGCTGTATTATATATGATAGGCAGAACAGAGACAAACATACAGCGAATCCTTTAAGAACGGAACAACGGAACAACGGAACAACGGAACTCAAAAAGATACCAAAGTCAAAATTGAAATAGACTTGGAGTCGGATTAGCGTGTTCGTAGAGCTATCGTCTAAAACCCCATCTTGCCGCAAAGAAGTAATAGTTATTACCATAAAATTTTCTTCAATTCCAGCCATTGCTAACACGTGTTGGATTACCTGACACCTGCGGAGTTCACAACCTTCACGGAATGCCGGGAGTATATTCAGGAATTCTTACTGTACTCTTCGCAGCCCTGGCTACTAAAGAGCAATATGGTGTTGAACTTGGTGGTGTGTTTGAAGCTATGAAAGAGGTAATTGAAAAAAGGCACATAAATGATATTAAAGAGATTTTTATACCTATTACTAATATATTTCAGGATGGCAGTGCTCGAACAGCAGGAAGTCAGGCCTTGAACCAGTTTCTTGCATTGCTCGTGACTCTAGCTATCTCGTTGGTTTCCGGTGCTATGACAGGTATGTAGTTTTCCAGTCGTAGCTACTATTTATACCTCAAAAATCACTTCGAAATATAAGATATCGTTTCAATATTTAAAGTAAAATAAAAAAGGTAACCATACCAAAGACGTCAGAGGAAAACATCCGAAAAAAGCATTTAATAAAATCAACTTCCACAATGGAACTGAAATAAATGATTCCCGTGAAACCGAAATTAATCTGAAAATTTTCCGTTTACATAATATGATAAGCTTAATAACATTTTAAGACTTCTTTATTAAATATAATTTGTCACATATCTCAATGTTTTTATATAAAAGTGTATAAAAAGCCAAAGTAACCATCTTGACTACAAAGATAACTTGACTGCAATATAGCAACTACAGAGTTTGGAAAGCATTTTCTTCAAAGGAAAATGAGGCTATGATTGGTAAAATCTCCTACGACAACTTTCTTGAAGAAAATGTTTTATATACTTGCGGAACATCGATTAAAAATTAAAGTAATTTACTTTTAATTTTGAACAAAACAAATAATATTTTTTACTGTTCACATATTTAATAATATTGTTCAATATTGTCGAAAGTTAAATTAAAGATAAGTTCAGTATTACATTTTTAAATTGTTAAAAGTTTTGTATTTCAATGTGTAGTATTTACCTAAATTAAAGACAATACCACACTATTATAAATATATTTTCGTACAGCGAATTTCTTTTCCGAATTACCGTGCAGCCAGTACATAGAAAGGTGTATTTAAGAAAAGTGGTTATTGAGATTAGCAAAAGTTTCCCCTCACTTATAGGTATACTTCGCTTATCCGCGGTTGAATTAATTAGTGTTTCCGTTGAATACATTTTATATATTTTTTTGTGATACCTTTGACAAATCACACGCATGTATTTTTTAAAGCTTTAAGCGAACATTTTATTGGTACTTCACCTCGCTATGTGTAATTGAATTGATAAAAAAATGTACGTATCAAGTTTCCAAATCTAGTTTTTTATTAAAATTTTCGCCTTATCCTAAACGTCATCGTTGATTCAGCTCAATTGGTTAGAGCAACAGCACGGAAAGCTGTGGGTTCCGGTCTAAGTCCTTGTTCAATGTAAATTTTTTTTTTTTAAATTTACATAGACCCATCATGTGCATGTAAAATATATTAAATTTGATCAAATGTTAGCCTAGTTATATACTTGTATACTGTGTACATAACGTTTTCTAGACAATTTTATTATTTAGTTTTAGTTTCTAAATTGAACAACATTTTACGTTTGTTTATTTAAATATAAAAAATGTTGCGAACATTTATTACTCTTTTAACTTGCATCTTTGTGTATTTCTAACATTTACAATAAGTAAAGACTTAGTACTCTCTGTAGTTTACGCGAGTAGTACACATTTAAATAAAACAGTTTAACGGTTTAAAACGCGATATGTATTACTTAAACTTATTTGGATTTTTTTTAACTACCGGCCTGACGGAAATAATTTTCAAATATGTTTAATTAATATATGTTGCGTTTTAAACCGTTCGAGTGTTTCATTTAAAATATTTAGTACAATAAACATCTAAACTAAAATAGCAACTTAAAATTACCGTCACCTAAAATACTATGATAGAATTTGTGCCTTTAAAGAACAACTAAGTACTTCAATCCTTGCTTAGCAACGCACCAGAAAATCTTTCACTTTAACCACCAAACAAATATACAATATTTCTTTATCCACCACGACCTAAGTAAATAGAATAATAAAACTTATAGAAATGAAAAGGTCGCTATTTGAAAATATTGTCTGGTTTCTGATTGAATTCGCGATAATATTTTATTAAATAGTCTACAATGATTACTATTTTTTGATAATGGGAGACGTTTAGGTATTAGTTATGGCAGTTCCATAAGTAGAGATTTAAAAAATACTTAAGTATTAATTTTATTTATAATTCGCTGTGCCCGTTGGTTGGTCGTCGTGGAATAGTTATTTTGGGCATCATATTTATTTTTGCAAGCAACCTCTTCAGCTTTATAAATTATTATAGACATCGTAACGTTGAGACGTTTTTGCGAGTTAACCTTAAAAGATATACTTTTCTGGAAATTTTTAGATCATTTAAATAGTAATCATTTTTTAATAGATGTTTTGGTTTCTTGAATTGTTTTCGCATCGCACGCAACATATAGATGGTTTTTTCTTTTTCCAATATTGCCATTGTTTCTTCGCTTCTATTAGTCAGCGTGATGTTGTATAGACTATAGCCCTTTCTCGATAAATTGTGTATGGAATTATATAGGATTTAACTTATGTTAAAATGTTACAAGAGTACAAAAAACAAGGTTTTACACTGTTACACAGCGGAGTCGAAAATCAAACGTAAAAAATGCTTATACACTGATACCGATATGGAACTCCAGGCTATATTTCATTCTAATCGAACTGAAGCGAGATAAAAGCGCGAAACTTGTCGGCTACAGCGAGGAACATTTTGTAGAGCTGTATAGCTGAATTGGAAGGCATGGTACTGGCGCTAGTTCCTATCCTATATATAGTCAAATCTCGATAATTCGAATATCAAGGGAAATGGTAAAAAAATTGAGTTAATGAGTTTTCGAGATACAAAGGATTTATTTGCTTAAACTTAGACTTATAGTTCAATATTCGATTTTAAAGTTAAAAAACGACTAAGTTTTTGGTACACATTTATTAATTAAATTAAAACTACATAACGTGAAGTAAATTGCACAAACCATACAAAAAGTCTGGTATTTTCCTTTGATTTAGCAATTTGTAGCTAGATTTAACAGTAAGACGTCATTCATTTTAGTAACTTCGAATTACAGGTCTTGGAAAGTTACAGGTATTCTTACAAGGCTTGAAACGACGGGCCATATAATAATTTTAATTTCATTTAATAATAAATTAGGCTAAATCTTTGCGTCGGTATATTACTCTCAAATGGGGCAAGTAACTACCCTAAAGCTAAGAGTTAAAAACACCAATCCCTTATCTGACACCATTTTGTTATTGACCTTTGAGGATCAATTTAGTTCGTTAGGCCTGATATCGGGCCGGGACGCGTTCGCAGAAACAAAGGCTCTAAACAGCCACGATCTATCTTCTTCCTCTTTTATTATTTATACCGCTTTCAGTTACTCACTTGTTTAAATTAAGAGGCTTTTGCCGGTTCGACAGGATTATTTCGAAACAATGAGAGATGAGATAAATATTTGTAACATTTTTCAGTGAGTACGTGCCATTTGCAAATATTTTTATTTACTAATTCTTTTGAAATATTTCAACTTTTAAATACTATTCTATCCGTCTCACTCATTGTCTCTATGGCTCAGTGGTAAAATGTATTTGTTATGCCCGAAAAAAGGCTTATAACCTCGGCCTGTAGCGTGATCTATTGCTGACATTAAATAAAGTCACTAAAAAGTATCCGCCTCTTGAAGGTTTTTTTTAAATCTGTCTCACTGAATTTAGTGCAAAATAATTATAGATTAAAAAGAAAGAATTGTTTCTGCTTTGAAATTATTAGCGGATCGTCGAGATTCTAAATGTGTACTTAACATTGATATTGACTGTTTAAATTTGAATATTTTTATTACAATGATATTATGTTTATCTCTCTCTCTACACATAGATGAATGAGTTTAGGTTATACAGGTGTTTTCACGTTCCCGTATAATCCGACATTTTATCTAGAGGAATCTAGCGACAACTATTTATTTGAACAACTATCTCATTCAATCGGATTGAGGATCCACTTGCGTAACTCTCAATAATAATACTAAATGAAGGGATCGAATGAAAAATCGATGTAGAAAATTTTCGGACAAATATCCTATTTTATTTATGTAGCTCTTTTGTTTTTACTTTTTGTGATAAAATAAAACATCATAATTCGTTTTATATTTTTAATAACGTTTGGAAACAGCAGAATTCAAAAAAATCGCCCATTCCAATATTTGTTTTAAATAGACACAATTATCACAAGAAAAAAATTTTCGACGAAGTTATTAAAAGTCTAATAATTTCAACTTGAATAAGATGGTACTTTTCTGATAAGACAGCTTTTTTCGCTAGCTTACCTTTTGAATAACCTCGCAAAAAAAATACTAATGATTGAATTTATAATGACAAATGTATGACCTTCAGTGTTAGTGAAGTGGAGACATTGAGCTTATTAAATTATAAAATAATAGCGTGGATAATTCCTTTGTTACAGGGTATATCGCACGGGCGCCGGTGTTGGAGCCATTAAAGGATAACGAAGAATACAATGACGAAATCAACTGGGAATTGCCCTAATCATCCATTTTTCCGCACAGGATTATTTAGAGAACATAATGGCTTTATTCGACTCGTAAATGCTTTTAAGAGTTTTTATACACAATACGTATAAAAGAAAAATATGTAATTTTTACATTAGTGAAATTCAGATATGTTTCATAAGCATTTTATGCTAAACTATGTATTATTTTGTATGCGAATGAAATTAAAGTAACAAAATACATAAGAGATTTCTTATCCTCAAATACAATGGGGTGTTACCTAGTATATATTAAAAACAAGAAAATATAATAAACATTTCCACCATTATCTGAAAAATGTTGGTCGTTTGACATTAAAATGAATTAAGAAAATTCTCCAGTAATTAGCGTAGGTACAATTACAATTATAAAAAAATATAAATTACATAAATTAATTTTACTATCAAATTTATGTCTACAAATATTCTAATCTCAATATTTTCATTTAAAAATGTAGTTGTAATCTACAACCGGTGTAAAAAAAAACTATCGAGAAACGTATTATTACTACATTATTATTTTCGCCACTGTCAAAACCAAAACCTGGGGTTTTAACATGTTCAAAATTTACTCTTATCAAACTAACCAATTGTTCTCGTTTGTTTCATAAATATTTGGGCCTATCCCAGTAGCTTTTTGAAGACTAAAAATAATGGCATACGCAGGAAAATGTGTCGATAACTTTGTTTACACGTGGAAACGAGAATATGAAAATAAGTAAACCAGGCGCTTTCTTTCATACGAATTTTGTTGGCAAATATTTTACATTGCCGTACAGAGTGCTCTTTTTTACATTATATATATTTTTGTCTGAAGAAGAGGTTTCTTACGTGCGGTGGTTTGTAACATTTTAATTATACCTAAATTCAATAGGTACAAGTTACTTCTTCTAAGAAGACAAACAAGAAAGATAGCTTGGGTGAAATACCTCAGTCATATCTAAACAAGATGAGCTATTTGGCATTGTATATACAAAAATGCAATGACTGATACCGAAAGGCGATTAAACTGCACGGCTTTTTCATCTGGAGACGGTAGTTTGTGTCTAGGATGGAATTTCGATTTTCCAACCAAATACCCAGATTTCCAAATGAAGTCCAATATATATCTAAAAAGTCATAAGTTGATTAGGTTGGACTCGGTGGGGATCGAACTCACAATCCCTTGAATCTTAACTATATATTGCTACCATTACACCATCGAGTCCTAACTCTAAATTATATTACGTTTTCTTCATTACTCTGCTCATTCAAAATGCGTGACGAAAATGTTCATATAATTCAAAGAGACGAAACAGCAAGAGACACACCATTGTGAATCTCAAGAAAGGAATTTAACGAACCGACCTCGTTTCAAATCGCTCGTTGCCACCCATAAGGATAATCTAAAATCTTGTATCGAAATCAAATGTCACGTTTGAATTAAAATGTTATTTGACACGACAATTTTCAAAACCTTTGAGCTCTACTGATTTGATTTGTTAATACTTGCATTTGAAGTTTAATTACACACTATAGAAAGAAACAGTTGGTAAAACTTAGAGATAATTATAAAAATATGTTTTTATACCATGTATTTTATACTCGTACCAAAAAGCGAAGGGTGTAATCATGTACGTGTTCATTGTTTACCTTTTCAACAAATTTAGTTAAAACGCAGAATATAAAGTCAATTTTGCAGATCCGTAAATAGAAAAACTTAAATCTAAAACTAATCAATTAAATATCTCCATATAATAAAATAAATAGTCGATGTAATAATTTATTATTAAATTTCAAAGTGATGAGCAAAACATTTTAAGTAAACTTCTGTTTTAAATTAATTTCGTTGTAATAAATAATTTTGAACATTCTGATGCCAAAACTTTTGGAAGTTGCGAGATTATGCTCGATTATTTGTACTTTGTGTTTATATTATTAATTTTAAAGTTTAAAGCAACGTTGTATTAAAACAATAACGCTTTCTGATTACTAAACCCAAGTGAAGCTTTTCAACTCTAAACCCCAACGATCGGTTAAGCAATCTTAAATCACTTTAAAAAAATTAAGGCAATTTGAGAAAGAAGTCCATTGAAAGCTTCTTCGTAATATGATACAAGGAAGCTATCTAAAGGATTAGGCTTTCATAAGCAAGTTTTAAATATATATCTCTAAAGGCTGGAATATTATTAGTAACTATAAAGTGTATTTTTTCCAACTTGGCAAAGACCACAACAAATATAGCCGATATTAAACCATAGAGAACTAGTGATGCCCTTTTTAGAGTGTAGTCGTTGCCACAGACAACACGAAGTTAAATAAATATGCATTATATGTATATTGTCGTATACCTTAACATTAAATCACTTTATTTCGATTTTTTTTTTTTTAAATTTAGTGTCATTATTATTTAACTGGACGTTTTAATTGGCACTTCTACCTTCTATAGTCGTTGACTTTGTTTACATCCCATCCTTATGTAAATGTCAAACTAAAGAAATTTTTATCTGTACATTTGCGTAAATTCATTTATAGAGTTTTTTTACTTCTCAATACCTGATAATTTTTTAATTATTGAAATTGGACATTCCATTCAAAAGATATCACGAAGTTAAAATAAATATGCATGCCAGCGGCGCCCGCCCCGCCGCGCATTGAGTATCAGCTTCGACGATAGAGGGGCAGTGGGCTCCTTACGCAGTGGACCGTAACGACATTGAATATTTCGATTTTTTTTTAACATTTTTATGCTTCACTTAAAAAGTTCTTTTCAAAGCTACTTAGTTTTAGTATTATGAATCACACTTTGTATAATGTTTGTCAAAGAAATATCGCTTTGAAATTGAATATTTTCTTTTGTATTATTATTAGTTTATTCTTAATTTCTCTAATTTAAAACAAATATCCTTCAGAGCAATATGCCTAGAAGAAGAAGGTCGCAGCTATCTAAGAATAGTTTCTAAGCGAGATTAGCAAAAGTTCGTCGTATTGGAGAGTCTTCTTCCTAAAATTATAGTCTGGAAAGTATTAGAGTGTACGCGTCCCAATCGCGAGCCAGAGAATCTATCGAACGTTCAGGTTTGTCTTAAAGAACAAATTGCAAGATCGTCGCAGCGACTTGAAGGAAATAGAGCTAGGAATTCGCGAATGCGTGCACGGGACACTAACATTGAACGCTCGCAGCGGCTCGTGAACCAGCGAGATAGACTACGGTCGTTGGTCGTCGAATTTTGTGATTCATGGTCTAAAATACATTTAAAAAGGCAAAACAAATAAAAAATTAGCTCCCTAAATATACATAATTATTTAAGAACATTTGAAATATTAAGCTTAAGTCGTTTTTAAATAATGTTTTATTACAGCGCATTAGAGTATATAATTCAACTTTTTAGGACTTTTATCCATTAACTATGCTCTTGAACTAAGCGGAGCCATATCACATAACGTAAGGAGCACTATCGTCCTTTTCTTAAAATCTTATAGTATATTATATAACTACTTTGCCTGGCACCATCAGCTTAAGTTGCTTAGTAAGAAAATTTATGCTGCCTCGCATTCCTTAAAACGTCTCCAAAATTTCCTCCCCATAGCCACTAAAACTAAAATCCTGCTCTCTCACACACTTCTCCTTTCTATCCTCGACTATGCGGATGTCTCTTACATTGATGTAACGGAAGAGCAACTGGATAAGCTTGAGCGGCTTCAGAACGCGTGTATTCGGTTTATCTTTGGTCTACGCAAATATAATCACGTATCTGAATGTCGCAAGAAACTTAACTGGCTGCCAATTCGCTCCTTTAGAAATTTTCATGTCCTTGTTCTCCTTTATCGAATTCTCTTCGATCCCAAAACACCTCCCTATTTAAAAGAAAACTCTATTCCATTAAGCTCTCATAACCTGAATCTTCGTTCTATCCATAATCTTTTATTATTTACTCCCGCGCATAAGACTTCCTTCTCCAATAATTCCTTCACCATTAAAGCGATTAATCTATGGAACTCTCTCCCCATTGATATCAGAAAAGTCAATTTGTTCTGTCTTTTCACCCCATCACTAACACCATCTACCTTAACTCTTGTCGCTTTGGTTGCCTGGAAAAGATCGCTGTTTAGCGATAAGGCCGCGCTTTATTATATAAAGGGCTAATTCATACGTTTTTATTCATGTTTTTTTTTCTCAATTGTGGTGTTTGTAGATAATAAAGTTATATAAATAAATAAAATAAAAAAAAAAATATACTAGTTAAACTAATTTACATTTTATATTTAACTACGGCCAGACGCGTCATTCCAAAGGCCTTTAAAAGTGTGTCATTTAAATGTGTACTACTTGCGGAAATCACAGACAGTGACTAGGTCAGTTACAGACATTGTAATGTTTAGTTACATAGTTATTTCAACTACCTAAGCATTTTTTTAGTTAGGCACCGTTCATTATTATGAAGTAAAAGATAAAAAAATGTTTTTTTTATAATTTATTTACCATAAAAAAATACATTTGTATATTTATATCAAAATCCCCCAATTGCTGGAGAGTTTATTGGCGATAGTGGCGCTCATATTCTAACAATAAATTTTCACTTATTAAGTAGGTAGGTATGTACCTATTAATATAATATTTTTTACATATGTATGGTATGTTAGGTATCTTTATATAATACTGTTTGTGAACTATAAAAATATCTCGTACTACAATATAACATTTTTTGAAAATTTTACTAAAATCTGTTTCAAGCTACGTTCGTATTTGTCACTAAGAGACTTTATGACGGAAGGATCTTGCTGCTTGGGAAACTTGAATATTTCATGTCTTCGTCTCTAGCACTAAACGGATTATACAAATTTAAACATTAGAATCACAGGCAACGTAACCATTTTTATTTCAGTATTTGTTTAGAGTCTTTGAAATTAATATTCTAGATCAATTTTATTTATATATTGTTATAAAGTGTTACCGGTTCTCATTTGGAAAAATAAGTACATACATATTAGTGATCTGTGTGTGTATTCAATGAAACAT